CCTGTCAAAACTCTCATTTTTCTGTCTCTCATCTGAAGAAAAGGAACTGAGATTAGGAGTACTTACTTGTCAATGCATACTTTAATTTTAAGCTGATAATTCAACTCCGGGAATTTGACCAGCAACCTATTTTTTAAAAATCCAGTTAAAACAAAAAAGTCAGTAGATTCCCCCATAACCTCTAGTTCAAGAAATGTAAAATTCATAACTCTTCATTTCTAAGAGGTGAATAAATCACAATCCCAAGTTCCTCCTCCAACCAGTGCTATCTTGATCTTAAGTTAAGCATCCCCCTTCAGGCCAAAAGACACTAAAAAAAAGCCCAAGATCTACGAACTTAGACAAAGTTGTGAGAGATTCACAAAAAGATAGTAAAAGCCATTTGATAAAAAATATTACAAGAACACATGCTCTGCAGCTGGTATTCTTTCTATTAAACCTGAAATTCAACACCACACTAAATATCTGAGGAGGGAAATTTCACTGCAGAAGGGCAAAAGCCCAGCATACCTGTTCTGACGTGCGTGTGAAAGGAACGCTTCACCCTACAGCCCCCCACGCACCTACCCTGGGGGCTCCTGGCAGCTACGTCATAAAGTCTTACTCCTTTCCTTAAAATCCTCAGGGAAAAGTCGGCTTAAAGAGCAGAAAAGAATCGACATTACCTTGCCCCTTTTGGAGAGCAGGAGAAGCTATGGTCTAAGACTCTAGGCCTCAAATCATAGGAATATGCTAAGGGAGCCTCAAGAAGATTTCTATTCTTTCACTTTTGACGTGAGAATCAAAGAGCAAGTCAATGTTACGCCAACAAATTCCATACGCATTATAGGGCTGCCTGTGACACCTGGAAAGAGCCCTGGCCACCAACTGTGCTCTCACCCAAGAGTGTACCTCAATAAAATATCTACCCTAAGTGGGAGTGCTGGGGCTTACCTGACTTTGGTAGTAAACTGGACACCCGTCTTGATGACTAGCGGCCGGTCGGGATGCATGGGCATGCAGGGCTGCCGCTCGACAACAAAAGCACTGACGGGGGAAAGGGACAGCAGCTCAGCAGTGTCGTTCGGACTGAACTCTGGAGTCAGCCAATCTCTCCCTTTAGAACGTGACTTTTTTTTTTTTTTATGTAGGAAAGAGAAACGGATTCTAAGTTACCTTTTCATTAAGTTTCTAAACAGCTCCACAATTCTCTCCTCCAGCATTGGCCGGTGCTGTACAATGGGGTCCCCTTTGTAGGAAACTTTTTGCTGCAACTCTTCCAGTTTCTTAATTTGTTGGCGGGTCTGAAGTTGAGACTCTGCTAATGAGGTTATCCTGCCAATAAAATAAGAAAGTCAGCAGTTATCTAAATGTGTGTGCACAGGTGAGTTGGAGAAGGGGCAGGGAATACCATAGATATAAATACCACTAAGAAGTCCCCTGAAACAAGAGAGGGGATTTTTTTTGTGTGGTAATATACACACAACATAAAATTGACCATTTTAACCATTTTAAGTGTACAGTTCAAGGGTATTAAGAAAATAAGAGTATATTTTGCTTTTGTTTATTTGTTTATTTTTATTTTGGTTTGGGTTTTTTTGGGGGGTGGCTGGCCAGTATGGGGATCTGAACCCTTGACCTTGGTGTTATCAGCACCACGCTCTACCAACTGAGCAAACCGGTCAGCCCCCTTGCCTTTTTTTAATAGTCCCTTCCTAAAATTTAAAATTTCAAAGAGGGGGCTGGGCGCAGAGGAAAAAGTGTTAAACTTATACCACTAGAAGGCTGCTGTGGGTTGACTGAATTTTGTCCCCAAAGTTCACATATTAGAAGCTTAATTCCCACTGCAACAGTTGAGGGTGGGAAATCCTCCTATGGTAATTGAAAGGTGGGGACTAGAAGAGATGATCAGGTTGTAGGACCACGCCACAGTGAATGAATTAATAATGGTGGTCAGGGGCGGGGTTCTGAGGGCTTTAAAAGAAGAGCACATGCGAGGTTAGCCTCTCTCTGCTCCACCATTTTCTGCCATGTGAGGCCCCTGGTCACCACTGCCACCACCAAGATCCTCACCAGATGTTTTCCAGCACTGTGGACTTCGGGGCGGGGTTCTGAGGGCTTTAAAAGAAGAGCACATGCGAGGTTAGCCTCTCTCTGCTCCACCATTTTCTGCCATGTGAGACCCCTGGTCACCACTGCCACCACCAAGATCCTCACCAGATGTTTTCCAGCACTGTGGACTTCACGGCCTCTAAAAATGTAAGCAATAAGTTTTGTTTTCTTTATAAATCACCCACTTCTGAGTATTTTGTTATAGCAACAGAAATAGACTAATACAGAGGCATTAATGGAGTTATCACTGGAAAGTGACAAGCATTACAGCCCAGATATGGAGACCATGAAATATGGAATTTGGCACTCACTTTCCTCATCCTACCTTGTCCATGTACCAAAATGTGAAGACTGGGAAAAACAGGAGATCGGACAACCCAAGAAGACTTGGGTTTAAGCCTGCTCTAACACTTGCTATCTGTGCAGGCTTGGCCAGGCCCCTTTGCCATCATGGGCCTTAATGTCCCCTGGCATGAAGAGAAGGGGTTGAACTGCATGATCCCCATGAGTCCTTCCAATGTCAGTCTTCAAAGGATCAAAGGACATGACATTATGTTTCAAAACAACAATAGCATGCATACAGAAAAAGTGAACAGAGAAGGAGACAAAGCTGATTAAGTCTGTCTCCAAGAATAGACAATATTAGTGTCTTTTTTCGATGGTCTACCACTAGCTCAATAAAGACTAAAAGACCTCAAAGAGAGAAGGTGAACAGAGGGGGCAGAGGATAGCTGCAGAGATTTCTGAGCTCCCTGGCTCCCTTCTGGCACTTCTATCTTCCCATTCCCAGAACTT